AACTTTAAATATGTTAATTTTTCTCACTGAATAATGCCACACCACAATGTAACCAGGAATCAACCAAGAGGAAATTGCATTTGTTTGTGCAAAATTTTCAGCACCAACAAGGAGTGTTCCCTCTTCCATCTGTTTTTGGAGGTTGCTTGGAAAAGAGAGAAAGAGTTAGTCTACTCATACTTGGACCAACACCGATTCGAAGCATTGCTCTCAAAGTTGGCTTCATTGCCACTCAATAGTGGAATCATCTAATTGGCTGTATACTGTAGTGGTATCTAATGGCTGTCTGTTGCAATCATTCATGTAATGGTGGCCTTAGAAAAATGTGGTAGAAAGAAGCATGCAAACAGATGACGATAGAGGGAAGCAATAAATGGGTGACCCTTCACAAACTTTGTGGGTGTTAGGTACTGTTTTGTACCCAATGGAACTACTTTGATTCTGCCTGCTGAAACATGTGAACCTTGAGCATAGTGATAACTCCAGCACAGAACCGTCTAAGTACTCTCTAGCAATGTAATTCTACTAAAACCACTGATTGGGATTGCTTGTTCTTTGAAGCCAGCCACATTATTTTAGGATACCAGCACTACATGGAAAGACTTCCAATTCAAAACTTAACTCATTCTACATTCTGATACCATGTAGAGGATCAAGGGAAAGAATACTGCTAAGTAGCAGCTGACACTGTTTCGCAGACACTGAGTTAGTGAGGTATTTATTTGCTCCATAAAATGGAATGAAATGCTTCCAGTCAGGCTGCCTTCCATTTAAAGATTCATGACTGGTAAAATGGGAAGGGGTAGCCACAAAAACTTGTTTGGTAAAGAGAAAATGTAATAAGTGTTTTTCCAGAACTCTCCGTTTGAACACAATCATAACAATGGGTGGAAGTTTTTTGAAGCGCAAGATCTTGATGGTACTCCATAACCCTTCAATTCCTGCCCACGTATATCATACCCAAGTGTAATCAACACCTGACAAATCTTTCCATATCTGTTTCCTAAGTGGACATGCCATCCGCATGTAAAAGAAAAATGTATGAAAGAGGCCTGTAACTTCCTGAGATACCGCTAATGTTACAATAGGACTATTATATTCTTCTTTCTAGTATTGCTGCTAAAGAAGCCCTAGAAAGTCATTTTGCTGAACAAAGCAAGCCGTCTTCTCAGGAGATTATGCGGATGGCTGAGGGGCTCAATCTGGAGAAGGAAGTTGTGAGAGTTTGGTTCTGCAATCGAAGACAAAGAGAGAAGAGAGTGAAGACAAGTTTACATCAGAACACCTTTCACTCCATTATTAAGGACCACCAAGACTGCCAGTAATTTATCCCTACAGACTCTTCCTGGTTTCTTCGACACATTTAATTTTTGTTTTTCCATAAAAGGAAAATGTGCTTGATGAACTAAAAGCAGGGCATGCAATGGTGATTAACAAAGTTAATCTAGTTGTCATACAATAATATTTGGTAATAATTTGTGCTGCACTTCCTCCTCTAAAGGGCACAATACCTTTGCCTGAGAGCTGCCTGCCTTATCACTCAGCATATTAATATAATACCAGAATGAGAAAAGTCATCAAAACAGCTTTCTTCAGACATTCTGGTAGGGTGGAAAGGTGGAATTGGCCAATGGTCACTGAGTGGATGGCAGAAATTAGGTGTGCTTCTAACCATCTTATATCTCTATATTTTATTTCATTCACTCATTGGTACTTGTACTTCTAGCAAATTATGTTTTCTTATTCTGATATAGACATCAGCATTTAGAACCTGCTGAGATGAGAGTCATTTTATAGTATCATTTACTCTAAATAAAAGGCACAAGCCAGCATCTTTATATGATGCAGTAGATGCACACAGGTACTAGTCCAGTGGCCCCTAAAAGATGCCCTACCAAGCCACCAATATTCAGAAAGCCAGCAGCACAGAATGCATACAATTTTGGAATCAGCTCCACTCTGAGAAAAACAGAGCTGAGAGAACTTAGCTTACAGTAATATGGGGGAAGGGAGCAGTCACTGATTCCCAGGAGCAAACAGGGCCACATTCCAGCAACTCTACTAGTGCTTCAGGGCCACTTGACTTAGATCCTGCAGTGCTAATGATGATTGGTATTGGCTCACCAACTGAATTCTCCTCCTGCACTGCTGCCAGTTCATGGGAGGTGGCAGTGAGTGAGTCAGCATCCATTGCTGGCACTCAAGTGGCCCCTGCAGCACTAGCTTATAGCACCAAAGGGGCCATTCCACTTGGCTTGCCTCCAGGGCCATTTGAACTTCCCAACCAATCCCTGCAGGTTACCATTCCCAACCTGCCCTGCAGGTTACCCTATTGGATAGGGGGAGGAGGCATGCTTATCCTATTGAAAAAGCACAATATATTTGTGTCTGTAGCATTCAGTGACCAGCACAAGCCAGTATCAAGACTACACAAGATGCTATACCTTGCCCTTGTGCTAGACTTGTTTTCCTGTTCGCCAACCTCAGAAGGGATGGATGTGTGAATGAGTGTGTCTTTCTTGCAACCTGCATTTATGAAGATCCAGGGATGCTGTAGTGTAAACTGGCCTCCTTAAATTAAGACCCATAGATTGTGAAATCCAGTTTAATTCATAAAATCTTTCAATCTGAAATTCAAACAGATACTTGGATTGAAGTGATACATTGTAACATCCAAATGTTATGGAAATGTTGCTGGTTTCTATATGCTGTAGTCCTTTTAAATCCATCTGCTCTATTAGTGGCATGGATACTAAAGCAACGACGAAATAAGCACAGAGCCTTTTCAAGACTGTCAAGAGAACAGACTACAAGTATTAAGAGATTTCAGAGAGGAAAAATGGAAAACCTGTCAACTCCCACTGTGACTGAGCTTATCTGTCAATTGATGAGAATACCCTTACTTGACAGGACCCTCCATGCAAAAGCAGCTTAAATTGGGGGCAGCCTAATGAGGAGCCAACTTTAGAAATAGTGAGTGCCCCTGCTGGTTAAAATATTGGCAACAGCTTTAATATAGGAGAGGCTTATAGGGAAGGCATTAACTATGTCCCTTCAACTCATGTTTAAGCTACTTCAGTCTATCTCTGCCTTTTGCTGTTTAATGCTGCTTAGAAAAGCCCTGTGAGGATTAAAAGATTGCTGTCACCAAAGGAACCTGGCCTAGTGAGAGATATGGCTTAACCTACTTCGTGCTATATCTCAGCATCAAAGGAGCAATTACCACTACAAGTTTACTTAAGGGAAGTCACATGTATTAGTTTAGATACTTCAACCTAAAAGCAAGGATGATCCAAAATGTAGTATGCATAGGGTTTTTAAAAAAATCAGCAAGTCCATCTTAATAAAATGAAAATAATGAGCCTGAAGGCAGATGACTCACACTGATGAGCTAGTCACAGCAATGGCAAAGAGGTACAGAGATTGGCATAGGGCTTTCAATACATTAGTATGGTTCCATATGCAACAGCAAGACATGCTTTGTCATTCTGTGAACAAGGTTGGGGGATCCTGGAGCTCACAGTTATACCTCCCTCTTCTCATTGCGCTAGTGAAAAAAGGAACAGGGGGATGGTCTCCTCTGACCACTGAAAAGGTTATGCTGTGGATCATGGAACCTGCACTGACAAAAATCATGTAGGACTTGGGAGGGGAATATGTGTTTTTAAAAAGGCTGGCTAGATCCAACACAATATATCATTTTCACTTTTGCGATGAGTCTTTCTTTGCCATTACATGCATTTTTCTTACAAAGCAGAATGCCCCATAAAATTTTCACTTTTGCAATGAGTCTTTCTTTGCCATTAAATGCAAGCCAGCAAACGCCAATTTGTATTTTTCTTACAAAGCAGAATGCCCCATAATCCTGATTTGGGGGAAAAACAAACCATGGTTTGTTAGTTTTAACAGCAAACTGTGCTTTGCCCCCAAAATAGACATATTTCATTAGGTGGCCACACACAAGCCTCAGAGCAACCCCGACTTGTTCAGTTTACCAGTGTGCCTGTAGAATGTCACTGTCACCAAAGTTGTGCTCATTAGATCTGTTGAATGGATAAGGTCACTTTTAAAAACATCAACAAAAACAAGGAGAAGAGGATATTATCTGAAAGCTGTGCATTTGTTTTCTACATGTGTTTTTGTGCTATACTAGGCATTTTAAAATATTGTAGACTGACTTAATTTATTGGTGTAAGTTATTTGACAGTGTTGAAACCTTAAAAATACATATTTTGAGGGGAAATAGTTGTATTACACAAGTATTGCTCCTTATTTTATTATGCAATTTTTATCTTGTTTAGTTTCAAAATGTTAGCATAGCTACACTTTGCAGCTACTATTCAATAAACTGTTTATATGAACTGGGCTCTAGTTAGTGGTACCATATATAGCTCAAGGAGAACGAAAGAAGGCAACCACATACAAAAGCCATGATTCTGCTGTCAATTTTCATAGTGGAGAGCCTGTGACTGTTTGGCAAGCCATTGGTTCTCTTCAAAAGGGCATGAGGCCATGGCAAACCCTTGCACCTGCAAAATCTCTGACTTGTTATTAGTTATTAAGAGAAGAGCAGGTCTGGAAGAAAAAAAAAGTTGGGAGCACCTTTCACAGGTAAAGATGATTTTCTAAGATTCAACCAGGAGTGCAGTACGATTATCCTAATAAAGCTGCAAGCCTATGCTTATTTATTGATAGTAAGCCCCATTTAACTCTTAGACTGATGTCTTTGTATATGACTGGGTTTTAAATAATCCTAAACAGAAAAGATGGTCTAAATTAACTAATTTTTTGCTCAGTCAAGTTCAGCAGCTTGCCTTCCTCATGCTTATTCCACTGCCTTACTTACACATATACCTTAATTTCCTCCCCTGCATCACAGACAAGAGCTGAGCCAAAATTAAATGTCAGTTTAATGTTGTTCAATGGATAAACAGCTTCACTGGCCATTAAATTTAACTGGTTCATTACAAGTCAGTTCAATACATAATCCATCAGGGGCATATTCTTGGTTTCATATTTTTGTTCAGTCACTAGACCTGAATTAAAAAAAACTGAATGAACACAAATACTGCTGCCAGTTTTTTTTTAACCCTTGCCTTTAGTAGTTGGTTGGTTTAAACTCAGGGGTCCCCAATGTTTCTGAGCCTGTGGCACCTTTGGGATTCTGACACAGGATGATGGCGCAACCATAAAACATCTGCCACAGGAGGCAAAGCCGCACACACACACACAGGAAGCTCAAGTGCCGGGGAGAAGAGAGTTAATTTAATAAAACACTTAGACAGAGGAGTGAGTGAGAATAAAACCAACACTGTGCTGGCAGCTGCCACTGAAACAATGTTATTTTTAGTCTGCCCAGCCTATCAGAGGCCCTGCTGGGCAAGTGCCCCAACTGGTCCTGCCATCTTTCTAAACACTCAGTGGACACCAGGAAAGGTGTCAGAGGACACCATGGTGCCCACGGACACCACGCTGAGGACACTTTTTGTTAGGGTACATTGTTCAGAAAAATACAAAATGAAATCTTGCAAATGGAATCAGCACTGGAGGAACTGAAAGCTTTTATTTAGTTGATATTTATAAAGTCCATAAAAAGAAAGATTCACCCACATAGCCATGCTGCCACATATTCTGTAAAACTGCAAAACCCAATTCAATATGTATTATAGATCGCTTTGACCATTTGTTTATCCAGCCAAATCTTAAGTATATTAAACTGGAGTTCTAGGTTCTCGATATTGCTGCTGATGCCCTACATTGATGCAGTACATGGTCATAATCACAGTAGTTGCTTTCTTGTCCTTTTCTTCAAGGACAATCAGTTGCATTCTTGATGATTTCCAAGGTTTGGGTTATTTCCACAAGGTAGTGAAAAGGAGGATAACCTCCTTTTCACATCCCACTTGTAAATATTGCTATAGAGTTCCAGGGTACTATGTTTCCGATAATATGTCAAGATATCCACTGTTTTACTTTAAAGTGTAATTTTAAACTCCCAAGTAAATCCATTAACTTTAAATAGGCAAACTTATAATCATTCCTGTTAATGTGCAAGAAATCAGTTTAACATAAACAAACATACTACACTGGACAATCAAATATTTTGTCAAAGGTAACACTTTTTTGATGAAAACATGATGCACAGCAATATGTACACATGCTATTTCAAGAAAAAGCATAACATTTATGTACTTTGCACCAATTGCTGTTGAGTCTCTGTAACTCTTTCAGTGCTGTATAAGTTGAGAAAATGGCTTTAACATTAATTTTTCACAATTCAAAGCTTAATAAAAATATGGGCTATGTACACAAAGGCACACAATTCTCTTCAAGTTAGCTAAGTTACAGTACAATGGAGTTTGTTTAGTACTTTCCTTACAATCTGCTACATCAAAATACTGATGGCACACAACCTCGTTTCTAGGAAGGTTCCACTAATGATAGCAGTATTGTACTCAGATCTTGGGCTAAATTAGAAATGCACATATCATTCCAAAACAAGGCTGAATGAACAACAACATGTTAGAAAGGCGCTTATAAAAAGGCCCCCTAAACTGTTAAAACACATCCTTCACCTGAAGAAAATAAATACCACCTCCCACTTGAAAGAAAAAACAAAGTGTCATTTTAAAAAGTAATATATTACATTAAGAGACCTTTTAATTTACTTGCAAGAGACTTTTAATTTACCTTCAACACCTCCAGAGGGGCTGATAACAATAACTTCAGAAAGTTCACAAATCTGAAGGAAATTTAGTGTTGGTCAAGCAAGGTGTTTTTAGAGAAACAGCTAAAAGCAACCAATCCAAATTAAGACTCAACATAGCAGATGCTCTTGTTTACAGTAGAACCCAGTTTGGTTAGGCATACAACTTCTGCATTATGCATGTTTTTTGTACACAATCTTCATTTTGTATTGTTCTCTTGCAATAAGATTTTGGCTAGTTTCACCAAGTGCCTCTAAAATTTATCACCAGTGATAGCTGAGGCAAGATAGATAAGAGGAATTTGGTTTTTATTGAAACCTGTGTTGGAAGTTCATATGCATGCCTGCACTGGCGTAAAGGCAGGCTGCACATCACCATCAAGTTAATCTACTCCCAGGGCTTTGAGCTGCCTCTCAATCTCTTCATCCGAAATTGTTGTACTTTGGGATGTTGATGCAGATGGCATGCCTCTGGCAGCTGAAGGAGCCTTGGCCATCTATTAAAAAGAAGGGGAAAATGAGAAGCTTTGTTTAGGCAAGGAAGGTGTCTCTTGGTGACTGAGACAATAGAAGGCAGGCAAAGGAGAGCACAAAAGGTGTTCAAAATTATCAGAGCAAATGGAGATTTTGTCACCCCTCTTCTGCCCACCATATTCTTGACAATCCATTTCCTCATACCTTTCCAGATATTTCAATTCCAATTTCATCAAGGACTTGGTTCACGATATCCTGACTTTCTTCTTCTTCCTCAGAATCATTGAAAATGTCATCTAGAGTATCATTAACTTGGAAGAGAAAGCAAGAGCTGAATTAGTACTGCAGAAGTAAAAGCTGCATTCCTATTCTGCAGAAGTAAAAGCTGCATTCCTATTCTGCAACTGGTGTTTCCCACATACAGTAGTTATTTTGGTTTGCCTGTCTGCCAATACGTTCTTTTCAAACAAAAGAAAGCAATGTCAGCAATATAATATAACTCTGAAGGGCTCATAATTATATAACAGTTAGGAATTGATTTCTGCGTGATAATGAAGACTCACACATTCCCTGATCCAAATTGTAAAATGGGTAAAATGATGACAAAGTCATTATGAAAATGGATGATGCAAGAATTGTGAAGCTCCTGTAGAACTTGGGAAAATATGTCACATTTTCCAGATGTTAGGAGATAGCAGACAAAAATGGATCTGGCTCATTCTACAAACACTCATCCATCCCCTGTATACTATTTGATTTCTAAATAAATATTACTATTATTTGTTTTCATGCTCTGATCTGGATAGCCTAGGCTAGCCCAATGAGTTTCATGCACACTAGATGAAGAGAAAGTGTGCTCTGTGGCAGAGGCTATTTAGCTTGTCCAAAGGCTCTATATCATCATCTCCCTTATAAATAAAAGCCAAATGGTGGTGGCACTTCTCTAGAACATTCCACACGCTCCGGAATTGGTTGGTGCCCTGGTGTGTCACTCACAGGGCGTCTCTCTCCATTCGCTGTGCTGCTGCCTGTGTGGGTGTCCTCCCGCCCAC